CCGATTTTAGGTATCTTGGAAGTCAGATAAATCAGTCGTGTCGCCTTCAATAAAAAGAAGTCACTTCTATGCTCGCGAACGGTTAATTTAGAAATTCTAAAATGAATGTTAAAGGTGTAAGTTTGGAGTGCGGTTCTGTTCGGGTGCGAAACAGTGGGCACAATGGAAAAGAAAAGGTTAGAAGCGTTCGAAATGTGGTGTTGTAGGGGAATGATGAGGCTAACGTGGATAGAGAAGGTTAGAAGAAATAGGCGAGATAGGTTAGTACAGGTCTGACGAAGGAAGCTGGCGAGCGGTCGCGCAGGTACTTGCCCATTTATGACCTATTTGGGTAAGTCACTTGGAACCGATACACAAATAAGCTTTCAGTAGGCGTAAATTATAGTATTAATACAGATAGGACAGTAGCGTACTAGAAAATAATGTAAAAACATGACTTATCAAAAAGAAAAAATTAACCTATTCTTTTGTTTTATAGTTAGTTTTTACATTCACTGTCGTCATGGGAATCTCTATCACTGTCACCAACATCAACAATTAGTTCTTCTATTTGTCTGTCTATTACTTGCTCACTGATCCCTATTTTTAAATATTTAATCTACGCCCCTGATAGGAATACTGAAGAATGAGGACTGCAATCGTTATACCTAAACCTGCCTACTTTTGCCACCGCGCATCCACGCCATTTTAAAATTTCCGCCAGCTTCCAGCGTCAGGCTTGTAGGACACCTTCTCATGCATAAAGGTCTAGTCAGAGACATATTAGAGGCAAAAACGGGAGTTAGGAGGAGTATAGACCTAGATTTGATTTCTGTTCGCAAATAGTTAAGGATGTGGGTTGTTCTAGTTTTAGTCCAACCAGTCTTAGAACTGACGACCTTATGATGATGATTGATTGCAAATGCAATTAATTTCAATCAACCCTAAGCCATGAACTTTTACTATGGTATTAGTTCAGCTTTTTTTAAATAAGTCCAAGTTGGTTTTATTCATTCGTTCTGAAAGTTTTTCGGGGTCATTTATTCAACGTAAGACTGTGTGTAAAAATATTTGACATTTCTACGAAATTACTTTTTGAATAATAATGGAAAACGGAAAAACTCTTGACAATAGCCCGAATAAAGTTGGCGTAGGGGAACGCGAAGCGGGTTAAACTTGAACGACAGATAAAACCCATTTTCAATTCTTAAAATTCGTAAACAAGTCTGAAGTAGCAAATCTTAGCCATTGTACTTCACCTGTACAGCACATTACATTCACGAAAACACTTATGCGAGTGTTAAAGCGCGTATTTATGCTTGTTTGTTAAAAGCTTTTCCAGAGAATGTATTTTCAATATTTACCTTACGTCTAAGTACATTATATAATGCTTCCTTTAAAAGAGCAAAGCATTTTAAAGCATATCTTTGAATTGAACGTTGACGAAAATACGCGCTATATAGGTACGTTGTCGTACTCTTGCTCCGTAATAATAGGCATTTTCCTTTATTACATAGGAATCTACAACTATCTCAGACAGGACTGTCTGTAGCCAAACGAAAGTCTCTCTAACAACAAAAGTTAGAAGTGTTGTAGTTATGTTTTTTTATAATGTTCATCATTACCATCATCATCATCATAATGTCAAATCAAAAGACCGCATTTTTTTAGAACTGGAACATCCCACATCCTTAGGTAACTATTTGTGAACGAGAATCGAATCTTGGTCTACCTCTATCCCTCGTAACTCCTGTTTTTACTTCCAATATGTTTCTAACTAGCCCTTCGTGCCTGAGATGGTGTCTTATCAAGCTATGTGACCTATTCCTTATTGACTTCCATAGCGCCCTCAACATTTTAAAAATTACTAACATAATAATAACAAAACAAAATAATTCGAAGTGGTCTGTATTCTGTCGAAACTGCCAGACGCGGATCGCGATTTCGATCTTTTTGGATCTCATCATGGCGTCGCAGGCAGCTCCGACAGAACACAGGCCAACCTTTACCTGCTGTCTTAACAGCGCGTTTTAGAAAATACTACAAATGGCGTGGTGTGCGCCATCTGTAGTACGATGCTACATTTGAGGATTACATATGCTCCAACAAGGTCCATTTAAAAATATGGATATCTACTTGTTAAAACGAATAATAATAATAATAACAGCATAAGAACCATTTAGTATGCCATAGTCAGTCATGAGAAGCTTCTAAAAGTCAAGTCAGACGTAGATCGCGGCTTCGATCCTTTTGGGTCTAGTCCTAGACAAGCCCTACAACATACAGAAGATCGAAATTGCAAACCACGCTTGACGGTTTTGATAGTATCCTGACCACTGACTTCTTCAATTATTTTTTATTCTGTCACAGTGCTTTGCTTTATACATTACCGACTTCTACGAGACATTTTATAATTTTAAGAAGAATAATATTAATAAAAATAAAGCACCTAGTACCTATACACGAAGGTTGACAATGTTATTTTTACCAAGTACAGTAAAAGTTCCTTATTCACGGTTTCCTTATTCGCGTTTTCATTATTCGTAGGTGAAAAAATTACAACAGTTCTTCTACTCGAGGCTAAAAATTTCATTATTCGCAGACGCAATCGGTAAACAGAAAAGGATTCGGTGTCATTTATTAAGGGGATAGACAGCAATAGATCGCTCGTGCCTACTGTGAATTTTTCCGAAAATATGGGTTTCTATTTTAAACATTGTGATTTAACGCTTCGAGATAAATATCTGATTTTTTTATGGTAACTAACTCGGCACGTTTTTAGTTTTCAATAATATGGTCATTAAAAGCTTTTACATGTGCTTAAAGTTGATGCTTCTTGCACGTACTTTCAATAGAAATTAAAAAAACAAAAATGGCCTTCAACAGGCTTTAGAACAAAGCTTTATCTATCTTACTACAAAATTTCAAACCGCTGTTCCAAACATTAAACTCATGATACCTAGAACCGATAAGTACGTTTTTACTCTAGGGCGAGTGTACTAGTGAATCCCCTTAATGTATCGCCATCTTTTGAGTATGTACTGTACTATTAATTTTAATTGCGAATTACTCAATAAGTTGATTTTATCTTGATACATATTGGTTTTATTTTGGAACCGTAGAATGTTTCACTTATGATTCCATACTAATTGCCATTCCATAGAGCTTTTACTGTAATTGATTGAGGTATTATAATTTATTTTGTAATTTTTGCAAATCCGTATAGACATCATTTTATCATGTAAGGCTTCTTTTGCTAATATTGTAGTGTACTTCATAAGAATCATTTCATGTTACCTAATTCCGAAAATCCGAAACTTGTTAGTTTGTTTCACTAATTAGAATAAAGGAAGATAACATCGGTGGGTATAATTATGAGTCTTATCGACATCTGGCAACTACTTGCAAGTTTTCAACTTTAATTTCATGGTTTGCGATTTTTCAAACTAATTTCCCTAATGGCGTCTCTGTGTGCCAATTTCCGAGAGAGAGGTTGCCAAGGGAATTATTCATCTGTGAAATAGAGTAACGCAGCTGCAAACCGGCCGAAGAGGAAAGAAAATAATTCTTTCTTATTTGTAATGCAAGCTCTTCATATTATTCTTTAAATGGCGAACACGTTTTCCCCCTAATTGGTTTATTATATTTCCCGTTTTCGCTACTTTAAAACGAAAGCGACCATTTATAAGAACGAAAAGACGCTACGTTCCTTCCAATGAATAGCTTATTACGTTCCTGGGTGCTTTCAGGGAAAATTGACGGGATTCTCAATATTACAACTAGCCTCTCCAAACCACTCCTATCAAGCAGCATACACATACGTAAGTCATGACTGTAACGTTTTATACTGCACATTTAATACTTCTATATTGCTAGTAAGGTTCAAGAAAAGGTTGTTTATTTATTATTATTCATTTATTCATGAATATCTATTCAAAGTAATCCCCACCAGATGCTATACATTTCTGCTAACGTTCCTTCCAATCCTCGAAGCACTTCAAAAAATAATTTTTGTGATCTTGTTCAGCTCCTCCTTCGATGTTGTCTTTATATCCTCAATAGTAGCGTAGCGTCATCCTCCCGTAGGAAGAATTTCCATTGAACTTCAATAGTAATCAATGGAAAACTTGTAAATTCCATTCAAACCCATTTGGCATAAATGGAAAAATAATTGTTTCCATTTACAATAATTCCATTAATATTTATATAGGAACAATTTCCATTGATTTTCAATGGGAACCAATGCAAAATTTATAAAATCTATTTAAAACCATTCAATATAAATGGCAAAACAATTGGGTACCTAAAAATGGAGAAAAACGTGCTTAAGTTAATGTGATTGTCAAAGAAAGTTGTAAAAAAACCTCATATTTCATCTTGATTAAAACGAACATCATTTAATTACCACTAACAATAATTAAAGGTAAAAAATAAAGAATTGACACTAGGATTTCCATTAGGTTCAGGAATGGAAGTTCCAATGGAACGCAACGGAAATCCCATTGCGTTCAGCAATGGAAATCCCACTGAGTTCGGGAATGGGATTTCCACTAGAATTCTACTGGAAATTTCATTCATCCCATTGGCAATTCTTTATTTATTACCATTAATTATTATCAGTGGTAATTAAATGGCATTTTTTTAATGGAGATAGAATGGAAATTTTTCTTAGGGGCTTTCATGGGCCTCTTCAATTTCGGGAACAAGAATAAGTCACAGAGGGCATATCTGGGATCTGGGGAATACGGTGACTGCGGCATTATTAGTGAGTTGTTTTTGGCCAAAAATTCACGCACAAACAACGATATTAAGCAAGGGCGTTGTCATGGTGCAAAAGCCAATTTTTGTTCTTCCACAAATCCTGACGCTTCTGGCGGATTGCTTCGTGCAAATTGCGCATAACTTGCAGGTAATATTCTTTATTGACAGTTCTAGCCTGTGCTGAAAAGTCATGATGCACCACGTCCCAGCAATCGAAGAAAACTGTAAGCAAAACCTTACCATTCGACCTAAGTTGGCGCGCTTTTTTCGGTCTTGGCTCGTGCGGCAGCTTCCATTGGGATGATTGAGTTTTAGTTTCCACGTCATAACCATAAAACCACGATTCGTCACCCATTATGAACCTCTGGAGGAAACTTAGGTTGTCGCGGACAGAGTCCAGCAGCTCCAAAACAATGTTAATGAGATGCTGTTTTTGGTCGAAATTGAGCAATTTTGGTACGAATTTTGCGGCGGCCCGCTCATACTCAAATCATTGGTAAAAATTAAATGGCAGGAGCCAGTCGATATGTTTAAGTTTTCAGCAACTTCTCTAACGGAGATTCGACGATTGACTAGTACTAATTTCTTCACTTCATCAATGTTTCGGTCTGTTGTTGACGTGCTCGGGCATTCTTCTGTCTTTATACGTTAAAAAAGTCAATAAAACGAAGAGTAGAATACATAATTGTTTTTTGACTAAATACCTCCTTTATTACATAAAATAAAAAAAGTTTTTCATCGCTGAATTGCTTTTTTGTTTGTAACATTTTTTTATGCCATCGTATCCATCAGTTGGAGCAGCAGCAGCTAATATTTACAAAGCAAGACAACAATTAATTTGGAATTTAATAAAAGCTGAAAACTATTCGCTCGCAACATAGTTCGCTAATAATACAAAGCAATTTGGCATATTTGCTTTGTAGTTTAATTACTTTTTGATTTTACTCGCACGACAGATTCTCATTTGTTTTAATATAACTGCACAGTCCATTTTCGCCCATGATACCATCGTACCATCTATTAACTTCGTCAAACATTTGGTAATTTTATCGATCACAGGAAATAAAACAAAATTATTATTTGTATAAATATTTGTAGGTTTTACTGTAATAGACACCCTTTAGAGTCTTGTGACAACCCTTAACACCGATTGGAAACACCCTCCGCTTTTTAAAGTTATGGAGCTCAGAACCGTCGTCACAGTTGCCTTGATCTCTTCTACGGCGTCATGAGGAATACTTTTAATGTGAGACTTCATTTTTAGAAAGAGAAAAATGTCGCACAGGGCTAATAGTTAACGATGTAGGATGTTCTAGTTTCAGGGAAATGCGAAGATTAGCTCAGGATGGGAAGGAGTGGAGATGCGTGACCAACCAGTCTTAGGATTGACGACCTTATGATGATGATGATGATGGGGCTAAACCCGGGCTGAATGGGGAGAAGCGGTAACGTGTGAATACCTTTTTGGCCAAACACTCATAGACAATCAATGAACAATGCGCGGGTGCGTAAAGAATCCAGCCTTTCTCTGCAAATACCGGCTTTACGTGGAAAATGCGTGACTCCAACCGCTTCAGGGTGCTGACATAGAATTGTCCGGTCAGTGTCTGACCAGAAGGAACATACTCACGATAGGTAATGCCCAGTATATCAAAACAAATAGTCTTTCATCCTGGAAATGCTTGGCTTCGTTAGACGCTCTCTCTCTTTCCTCACTTCTACTCACTGCTCTGACGCAGGAGTTTTAGGGAGACGTTCACTCCCCTGTACATTTTCTTCTTATTTTTGGATGATTTCAGATTCTTTTTAAGCCGATTTAATTAAAAATTGTATCACGACACGTTGTGGAGATGGACGATTCCATATCCTATGAAGGAAACGCAATGTCCAATGCATTTTTGAAAAAAATCATTTGAATGTTACTGGAAATGAAGACTCAATCTTACTAAATCCATGAGTTCAAAGTTCAATAAATCCTCTTGCCTAAATAGCTGAAATAAAAACATAAACTGCAATGAAGCTACTTTAAAAAAAGAATCCCCTAATATTCCATTCGTATATAATATTTATCTAAATGAATATTGCCTGCGTTAGGAACGTAAAATTAAAAAGTTTCTTAAATGTTTCAAATATTTTACTAAAGGTTTTCAGTTATTGACTTTCCTCTATTAAAGCCTAAGATTCTGTTTATTAGTCAACGTTAAGAAAACACTAAGCAATCAAAGCTACAACCAGTTCTGAAGTATTCTATAACTTTGTGACCTCAGGACTTTAAAACGTTTGAAATAAAGTATCGACAGAAGTTGTCGTATTGATTATAAAGCTTAACTCATGTGCTAAAAACACATTCTTGAAAAACGAGTTTCCATTATTTTCCTTTCACTGCTTGTTACCGGAAAGGACTTTAGGGAAAGCCTTAAGAAAAAGACAAACACAAAGCACTATAAACTTTCTGTTTTGGTTGAATGAAGGACAGGGCCAGGGGCTTCGTGGAGCGATGAACGCCACGTTTGTTTGATTGTCTATGGGCAAATTGATTCGACTAATGCAAGGGTAGCAAATCGGTCTTTAAGGCAATCGGACAACGAGTGCATTTACGGTGAAACGACATCAAAATTTATATCTACTAACCAATAGTAAGAACATTTTCATTGATAACATCAAAAAACGAATAACAATTAAAATTAATTAATTTTCCATGTAACGTTATGGACACACTTTCACCATTTTTAGTCAAATTGTCACGGTAAACTTAATGGCAGCGATGAGCAAAATTGATCTTGTAAAAAAATCAAGACCAATATCAAGACCAAGACGGAAGGGACAAGGCCAAGATTAAAACTAAAAGCGAACGAACAAGACCAAGACTAAAACCAAATCCGAATGAATAGGACTAAGACTATCATCAAGACCGAACGAGTTAGGTCAAGACTAAACCCAAGACCGAATATACAAGACCAAGACCATACTTAAGTGTACCAATGTTTGAAAAAATTGAGTAAGTGTTTTTTGTTTTTATGTCTGGACAGCACACGGTTGAAATATATTTATATATAAGCAAAACCAAAATCACTATACTTCGTTTACTTTCTGTAGGGATGTGACCTTGAGTATGACCGGCGCAAAGTAGAAAAGAACAGCACTAGGTCAGAAAAGGAAGGAGACAACTGTCAGCCAAACTCTTAACCGCTGAGGAACGAATAATCCGTACAGTACTGCACGGCAAATTGACCATTTTATCTACTACAATTGCATTGCTCAAGTGAGCTGTTATTGGTACCATTTACTACTGAAAATATCAACGAGATGTTTATTTATATTTGAAGACATATTAAAGGCTTTAACGCTTGTTTTCGATTCGCACTACTATTCATGATTGAACAAAACTTTTCGCAGGTACTGTATGAAAAAGTATGTTTAATGAACAAGAGTCGAGAGTATAATGAACTTTTTCCTCCCTACCTACGATTTTGCCAGCGCGCATCCAAGACGTTGGAAGGGACACATCACTAAAGAAAGTAAATGAAACATACCAAGACTGTTCTGCTGACCACTACTACACACTTAATGGCATTTTTGGCAATCATCATAAGACCGTCAATCCTAAGACTGGTTGGTCACATGCACCTCCACTTTTTCCTATTCTGAGCGAATCTTCGCATTACCCAAAAACTGGAACATCCCACATCCTTAACTATTTGCGAACAGTAATCTAATGTAGGTCTACCTCTACTCCTGTTTCTGCCTCTAATATGTCTCTGACTAGCCCATCATGCCTGAGAAGGTGTCCTACCAACCTATCTCACCTATTTCTTAATGACTTCAATTAGAGTCCTCTGTTCTCTTATTCTTTCTAGTGCCTCTTTTTTTTTTGGTAATATAAAGAATTAATTTTACGGATCTTCTATAAACAAAAATGGAAAATAAGTTATTAATGTTGAATATTGTCACTTAATTAACTTCTTTCCAGGTTATACCTCAATTGCTTAGGTAGTGTATATAATCGGAAAGCGCCCCAATTTTAAGTTATCAATTTAAAAATTTAGAACAGTAATTAATTAAAGCATCTTATTATGCACTACTAGGGGTTATCCTGGTTGATGTTTAATTATAGTTAATGTGATTTCGATTTCAAATCCAATCACCACACACACTAACTAATTCCGAAGTAAATGTTGTATGAAGAATTGATAAAATTTAATTGAAAATTTGTATGTTTCAGATGATTAAAATTCAAACGTAATATAAGCAATCAGAGCCAAAATGGATTCAAATCTCTTTATTATCTAATGACCACTGCCAAACGCTTCGATCTAAATTATCGGGCTATATGAGGACTAGTTTGTAACAGTCAATGAAGACTAATATACGGTGTGGACTTATTAAATAGTAGGTAAAAATTAATCGAGACAATTACCACTAAATATAATTAACCAAAAAATACATACAAAGGTATTAATTGGACTAAGTGTCCTGGATTAAAACTAATAAATAAATAATTGGGTACATTCCATTTGGTGACAAACGGACAGTATAATTAAATACTAAAATTTAGTACCTATTGTAGCGAGCACGAGTGTGTTTGTGTGCGATCGGGCACACGTGTGCGTGAACGGTTTATCGATTCGCCGACTAGCCGCGGACGCCTTTGTTCATGTGTTAAACAGCAGTTAAACACTTCAAAGAAAAAATAAACTATCCGGATGTCTCCAAAAGGTTCCAGAAAGTAAACAAAAGAGCATTTAAAGGAACAGACGATCGCCGAGAAAAGAAGAAATAAATCGACCGTTGCAGAAGTGAATCCAGAAATAAATTGACTGTGATAGCAGTGAAATAAATAGCGCAGTGAATAGTGAAATATCAACAGTAGTGTAAATAAATAGAAGAATTCATAACCTAAGTTTAGCAGAAGTGAATCCAGAAATAAATTGACAGTGATAGCAGTGAAATAAATAGCGCAGTGAATAGTGAAATATCAACAGTAGTGTAAATAAATAGAAGAATTCATAACCTAAGTTTAGTAATAATTAAATAGTGTTTGAAGTTCTTTAGTAATTAGTGTAAATAAATAGTTTTTGTCGTTATCAGTCTTAGAAGTTAATTTTGTTAAACCCACGAAAATTACACTATGTTACTCTCTGACCTTCTTAGTACTTCTACATACATACATATAATAACATAGTTACCTGCACTATATTTGTAAACTAGTATGTGTGTCTTCGATAAAGCTGTCTCGGCATTTATTCACGCTCAAAGCTAAAATGCATTGTTTCACGAAGTAACTATTGTTTTGTGAAAGCCTTATCCGTTTCGCGGAATCCACTATTCATGTCCTGAAAAGATTCGTATTCACGCGTCATGTTTTGATTTAAAGTTGTGAAATTCACCATTGCATCGTATGAAACAACAGAAAGCTCTAACAGTTGATGTTTTGTTAAAATGGAAAAACTACTAAATAAGTACGTACCCGTAGGAAAAATTTCCATTCTATCTCCATTAAAAAAATTTCATTTAATTACACCACTAATAATAATTAATGGTAATAAATGGAGAACTGTCAATGGGATGAATAGAATTTCCACTAGAATTCTAGTGGAAATCCCATTCCCGAACTCAATGGGATTTCCGTTACTGAACGCAATGGGTTTTCCGTTGCGTTCCATTGGAACTTCCATTCCTGAACCCAATGGAAATCCTAGTGTCAATTATTTATTTCTTACCTTTAATTATTGTTAGTGGTAATTAAATGATATTCGTTTTAATCAAGATGAAATATGAGGTTTTTTTACAACTTGCTTTGACAATCACATTAACATCAGCACGTTTTTCTCCATTTTTTTTAATAAGTTCTAATCATCTCAAACAACATCTTCTCCATTTTTACGTACCCAATTGTTTTTCCCTTTATATTGAATGGTTGTAAATAGAATTTATAAATTTTGCATTGGTTCCCATTGAAAATCAGTGGAAAATTTAGAAGAAGAATTATTGTAAATGGGAACAATTATTTTTCCATTTATGCCAAATGGGTTTGAATGGAATTTACAAATTTTCCATTGAATCCCATTGAAGTTCAATGGAAATTTTTCCTACGGGTACATACAGGAACAGACGTTAACTACGTTATACCATCATATGTATAAAAGTTATGTATTCCAAATCTATTGAACGGTCTTCAAGAACCATTCGTTTTCAAGACCGAACATTTCATCGCAACATTAATAATTCTTGCAATTCGTACTTGTTAATCCAGGGCATAAATAATCCACGTCAGCATCCTAGTTGTGGCACTCTCTCCGTTCCATGTCAGAAATAAATAATCGTTTAATGCGGAAACCTCAAAATGGTATTCAAGGATTTTAATGGATTTTACTTATATAGATTAATTTTGATTCAGCTCTCAAACTTGCAGCAGTCCGTGCTGTATACTTCATTTACTTTCTCTAGCGATTTGCCCCTTCCAATGTCTTTGATGCGCGCTGGCAAAATCGTAGGTAGCGATGCAATTATCGTGAATAAGATGGCCAATTTTCCGTGCAGTATTGTACGGATTATACGCTCCATACCGGTTAGGAGTTAGGCCGAGAGTTGTCTCCTTTCTTTTCTGGCCTAGTGCTGTTCTTTTCTACTTTGCGCCGGTCAAACTGAAGGTCACATCGACATTAAATCGATTCTTAACATGAAAAGAAAAGAAAACAAAACTGTGATAAATTGGTAAAAGTATCCGCGACCAATTGGTGAACTGATGCTGTCCTCAATGGGGTCTAAGGGTCATCGTCATTGTCGAAAGTAACAAAGAAAATTGCTAAGAAGTGTGAATATAATTTATGTTATTGGGGCGGTTGAAGAAAAGTGGACGTACTCAATAACGACTCGTTTTCTTTGGCGTTTCAAACTAAATATATCTACGTATACTTATTGCGATTATGTAAGTGAGGCATCGGTAAAATCGTTTTCGTCAGCTTTTGATAAGTAGATAATATAATCAAGT